AAAATAAATATATATTACATTAAATAATATACTGAGTATTTTTTTTGTTATCATGCGAACATTTTTTTTTGATTGACTTTTTTTATTTTAATTTCCCCGATGTCTAGATTAAACATGGAATGTACAGTCACTCTGCCGGAAGTCGAACATGCCGCAATCGACTGTGTCAGACGGCTGTCTGCACGGTTACTAAAAGAGTGACCGGTGCTAACGAATTAGTCTATTCAAGAGATTGTAGTATACAGTACCGTAATCTGCAAATGCATACAAATCTATTTGTAGATATTATTTATTGTGCAGTATGTTATACAGTGTGAAATTTTGTTTGTGTACAAGTTTGTCTGTGTGTAAAAATCCGAAAGTGCCTTAGAATCGCAACAAAGTTGCAATCGAGTGTCGTGCATCTTATTAGCATATCATTATCCCTCCTGGCCTTTGTTTTCTGAAAAAAATTCCCACTGTTTCCGAAATGAATGCTCTAATTAAAGCCGCACCAAGACTTCACGCATCTGAATTCGTCCATTGAAAAAATGAATTTTAATTAAAGCCGCGGCCTCAATTAGGAATTTTACGGTAACTGAGCTTTAGATTAAAAAGTGCTAGCTTTTTGTCTATGAATCAAATCATGTTGGAGTTCCTTTGCCGGCTAGCATATTTGGATTCGGGAAACTTCATCAAAACCATCAAAAAAATGTTCCTGCCCCAATCGGCGAAATTAGCTGTTGTTACAGTTCTCGTCTGATATAGGCCTTTAAAAAAGAGTGGGTCAAAGAAAATCACATGGGCCTTTAACAGTGAGTGAAAACAAGAGTTAAACAAATTACCTCTCTCATTTCACCATCAAGTCGTCTCTGTTCTATTGCTTCTTTTTCAGCACGCTTCCTGTGCTCTTTCTCAACTTTCTCATAACGTTTCCAGTATACCATCATCTCTCTGGTAATTCTGCGAGCCCTCTGAGGAGTCTCCTTGCATACCCTCTGTGATTGCATAGCTGCTCTCCGTTGCTCTTTCTGACACAGCTGAGAGAGTTTCTTAGCGTTGCTCATCATATTGTTGTGAGTGGAAGACCTCTGCTTGTGAGCCTGACAAAAGATAAACAAAGTTTAAATAGCACTTATTTACATGTATATACAGATTGTAAACCGCTAAGGTTGAAGGAATATGTAAATTGTAAACTACTAAGGTTGAAGGAATATATAAATTGTAAACCGCTAAGGTTGAATGAATATGCAAATTGTAAACCACTAAAGTTGAAGAAATATGCAAATTGTAAACCACTAAAGTTGAAGAAATATGCAAATTGTAAACCACTAAGGTTGAAGGAATATGCAAATTGTAAACCACTAAAGTTGAAGGAATATGTAAATTGTAAACTGCTAAGGTTGAAGGAATATGCAAATTGTAAACCACTAAAGTTGAAGAAATATGCAAATTGTAAACTGCTAAGGTTGAAGGAATATGCAAATTGTAAACCACTAAAGTTGCAGAAATATGCAAATTGTAAACTATTAAGGTTGAAGGAATATGCAAATTGTAAACCACTAAGGTTGAAGGAATATATAAATTGTAAACTACTAAGGTTGAAGGAATATATAAATTGTAAACTACTAAGGTTGAAGGAATATGCAAATTGTAAACTGCTGAGGTTGAAGGAATATGCAAATTGTAAACCACTAAAGTTGAAGAAATATGCAAATTGTAAACCACTAAGGTTGAAGGAATATGCAAATTGTAAACCCCTAAGGTTGAAGGAATATGCAAATTGTAAACCACTAAGGTTGAAGGAATATGCAAATTGTAAACCACTAAAGTTGAAGGAATATGCAAATTGTAAACTGCTAAGGTTGAAGGAATATGCAAATTGTAAACCACTAAAGTTGATGAAATATGCAAATTGTAAACTACTAAGGTTGAAGGAATATGCAAATTGTAAACCACTAAAGTTGAAGGAATATGCAAATTGTAAACTGCTGAGGTTGAAGGAATATGCAAATTGTAAACCACTAAGGTTGAAGAAATATGCAAATTGTAAACTACTAAGGTTGAAGGAATAAGCAAATTGTAAACCCCTAAGGTTGAAGGAAAATGCAAATTGTAAACCCCTAAGGTTGAAGGAATATGCAAATTGTAAACCACTAAGGTTGAAGGAATATATAAATTGTAAACCACTAAAGTTGAAGGAATATGCAAATTGTAAACTGCTGAGGTTGAAGGAATATGCAAATTGTAAACCACTAAAGTTGAAGAAATATGCAAATTGTAAACCACTAAGGTTGAAGGAATATGCAAATTATAAACCCCTAAGGTTGAAGGAATATGCAAATTGTAAACTGCTAAGGTTGAAGGAATATGCAAATTGTAAACCATTAAAGTTGAAGAAATATGCAAATTGTAAACTACTAAGGTTGAAGGAATATATAAATTGTAAACTACTAAGGTTGAAGGAATATATAAATTGTAAACTACTAAGGTTGAAGGGATATGCAAATTGTAAACTACTGAGGTTGAAGGAATATGCAAATTGTAAACCACTAAGGTTGAAGGAATATATAAATTGTAAACTACTAAGGTTGAAGGAATATATAAATTGTAAACTACTAAGGTTGAAGGAATATGCATATTGTAAACTACTAAGGTTGAAGGGATATGCAAATTGTAAACCACTAAGGTTGAAGGAACTCTCACAGTATTGTATTTGCATACAATGATATTATGTTTACCTTCACTGTTGTTTGTATTGACCAGACCTTGCACCTTAGCTAAGACTATGCAGCATTAGCCAAGGTACAACATCTTGAGTTAACAAGTAGACAGAGTTCTATTTCAACACAACGTGTACAACCTCTGAAGTCTGACCTGACCTGAGTCAGCCAGAATTTCCCATTTCTCAGTTGGTATGAATCGTCAAATTCATTCATGTTCTTTATAACAAACTACCTTTGGGATATCTTTTTTTCCGATAGCAATCCAAATCTTTCTCCTCTTGATGTCAGCTTCCTTAGCAGTCAGGTGCTTCTTCTTTGTAGCAGCCTCACGGAAAAGTGCAGCGATAGCTTTCTCATCCATATGTTCTAATTGACTATGCTGCAAGCCTCGTGACGTCTAAATTAAATTATCAACAGTGAAATATTCATCATTCGTCATACATGATTTTAGAGCTAGGTGACAGTTGGATGCCACTGTTGTCACACTCAAAACACTCAAGTACAAGTGCATGCAAAGAATTATATCATCCAAACCATAATCAATGCAACAGAGCTATGTGACCATCTTCCTATCCATACTGACATTACGGTAATTTAACATGCTGTCCCTGAATCAACCCAGCATGGCTGATCACAGTCACCAGCTGACCCTAAAAAATGTTCTTATGCAAAAATTAGTAAGTTATCCCATACTCATACTGAAATACTCTCTTAGGGATTGAGTCATTCTTTTTTTTTGTGTGTTCAACACCATGTAGGATTCAAACTCCATGGTTTTGATGCTATTATTCTATCAGTGATTGATGACTTGCATGACATAACCTTAAAATTGCAGTAAATTTCTCTCAAAATTGTGTTTTTACATAAAAAAAATAGTGATTAAAACCTGTGAAATATAAACAGAAATATATTTTCATGGAGCACTGCACAGCAAAATGCTCTCAATGTAATCCCAAAACAGAGCAATAGCTGAAAAGGTATACTCCACTGTCGAAGACCATTATCATTCTGCTGCTATTTTAATTTGAGGTAAATGTGGTAACCACATGACTCGGACCACAAAAACACAGTCATCACTGAATCTCACACAACCTTAGTACTGTACGGAACAACAAAGATGACATGGCAGAATGTAGGTAAGAATTATTTACGAGCCAATTGACAACAAATAAATGAGTTTGCTCGGCAAATTTTTCGACCTTTTTCAACAGTGAGCAGAGCAGTTTTGTTTTACACATGCACAGAGGTGTGATGATGATTCAAAAATTGCGAAGAACAAAACGAATTTAAAAAAATATATATAAAATATTTTTTCAATGAGAACACAGAGACACGCTGTGATAAACACTGGATAATCAGCAAGATATATAAAGAC